AGATGGAGTTTCACTCTTGTTGCCCAGGCTGCAGTGCAATGGCACGATTTCGGCTCACTGCAACCTCCGCCTCCAAGGTTCAAGCGATTCTCCTGCCTCAGCCTCCTGAGAAGCTGGGATTACAGGCATGTCCCACCACGCCTGGCTAATTTTGTATTTTTAGTTGAGATGGGGTTTCTCCATGTTGGTCAGGCTGGTCTCGAACTCCTGACCTCAAGTGATCCACCTGCCTTGCTCCCAAAGTGCTTTTTTTTTTTTTAACCTTGTGTCAGAGCAGCATCAGATGCACATAGATGATACTCAATAAGCACCTGACTGAATTATCTCAAGGGTTCTGTGTGTTGGCAACTCAATTTTTAGCTGTATTTTGTTCTTTGCTGTTTCTAATTTATGAAACTTATTTCCTTAGCTCTAAGTTTCATTTCTACTTTATTGTAATGTTTTGTCTTTGACTTCTTTTTTCATTAAAGACTTTTCTCTTTAAATTCTTTTAAAATATAGGGTGTTTAATGTGAAGGATGTTCTATTTCCTAGAGTAAATTTTCTTTCAGAATGGGTTCTATATCTGTCCTTTTTCTGTAGTATTCTTTACGTTGTTCACAGGCATAAGGCTGGAGGTAGTGGTTCACACCTAATCCCAGCACTTTGGGGGGCCAAGGTGGCAGATCACCTGAGACCAGTAATAAGAGACCAGCCTGGGCAACATGGTGTGACCCTGTCTCTACAAAAAAACAAATAGTTGATGGGCAGTTTCTTCACATCTTTCTCATGGCTGCACAGCAGCCTTGTGGATTCCCAGTTACAATGTGGGTGGTCTTTGAAGCTCTCCCACCCAATCTGAGCTCTTTGATCTTCTCCAAGCTGCTTCCAGCTGAGTCCCTTCCTCTTAGACAATAAGATACAAGTCAGGAATATGCAGTCCTTAGAAGACAGAGAACTCAAAGAGAAAAAGTACCAGCCCAGGAACCAACCGAGCAGAGGGGAAAAGGGCTGATGGACAGCCGTGCCCTAAGTTCCCCACTCCTGTGAGGAGGAAAGCCCCAAAGCCATCTGTTTCCCCCACCTTTCCTCCCTGGCTAGGAGGAGAGGGAAAACAACTTCTGGAAAGACAGGTGTGAAGGAGGTGGGATTTATCCTGAGGTTAAGCATTTCTGTCACAAGTGAAAAAGTTTACCTGGTTTGGCGGAACCATCCACATTGGAAGACGCTGTCCTTGGAAACAGGATATGCCCCTGACTAGGCAGAGTGAATTCTGTCCAGTTTTAAACAACATTACAGAAGAAAATAAGAAGGGAGTCAGTCAACTCAAATCACCACTCCTCATAAGCCCCACCCTCTCAGGTAACAAGACCCAGGTCAGGACCGGCTCCCAGACCACCTGCCATTAGAGACAGAGTTCTGGGGAGCCTTGCATCTCAACTGCCTCCCTCCCAGACAGTGTGAGAATGCCACTCCCAACAGCTTTCCCTTCCTTGGCAAGCAGGACTGAGACAGTCATTAGGTCAGTGCATTGCACTAGGGAGCCAGTGAGAATGCAGCTGGGGGCTGAAATCCAGTTTACTCTGAGCCATGTGTCCCGGTGTGGGGTCACATCTGCTCAGAGAAAGGACCTTTCTCTGTACAAAGGTGCCACTCACTCACACACAGGGCTGCATGTGGGCTGGCAGTAGCCCTGCTGAATAATGCTGGATGACTGTATACGTGATTGGGGAGGAGCTTCCACCTTGGAGAAACACTTTCTGATATCTCCCCTAGGCGCTGACTCAACAGGCATTTGATTCCCTCCAAATGCATTTGGCTTTTCACAAATTACTAACCTTGTCCTTGCCCATGCACAGCTTCTAAGAAGCCAGAGTATAGGAGCCAAATTCCAATTCTAGCAGGTCTTTTGTCTGCTGCTGTTCAGAGTTTATAGTGTGAGGCTGTGCTACCTGTTTCCTTTGAATGCTGCCAGTATGGTTCTGCTGGTCCATTCTGCCTCATTTTTCATTCATGTTTTTAGTTTCTGAAATGGGCGACTTTGATTATACGGCTGCATACTACTATATGCTACTTCCAACCTGTCCTTGATGTGGTCTCTCTGTGCTGTTATAACTGTTTTCACATTATGAAGTGTGAATATGCACTTTCATGTGCCACCTATTTAATATGCATGCTCATAAAGGCTTAAAGCACATCTGAATCTACTTTTTTTTTTTTTTTGAGACAGAGTCTTGCTCTTTCACCCAGGTTAGAGTGCAATGGTGTGATCCTAGCTCACTACAGCCTCCAACTCCTGGGCTCAAGCAATACTCCTGACTCAGCCTCCTGAGTGGCTGGAACTACAGGTGTGAGGCACTACACCTGGCCCTGAATTTACTGTTTTGGTGAAAACCTAAATGTATTCAAGTGTTCAGTAAATGTTATTTGGTGTTAATAAGTCACCAGAGGCTTATAACATATTGAAGATGACATCAAGATGATCCCACATTCTGATTATTTTAATAATTTGAGTTCTGGGATACAAGTGCAGGATGTGCAGGCTTGTTACATAGGTAAATGTGTGCCATGGTGATTTGCTGCACCTATCAACCCATCACCTAGGTATTAAGCACCACATGCATCAGCTATTTAGCCTGATGCTCCCTCCTCCCCGCTCCCCACAACAGGCCCCAGTATGTGGTGTTCCCCTCCCTGTGTCCATGTGTTCTCATTGTTCAGCTCCCACTTATAAGCGAGAATGTGCAGATTTGGTTTTCTGTTCCTGTGTTAGTTTGCTGAGGATAATGGCTTCCAGCTTCATCCATGTCCCTGCAAAGGACATGATTTCATTCCTTTTTATGGCTGCATAGTATTCTGTGATGTATATATACCACATTTTCTTTATCCGGTCAATCATTGATGGGCATTTGAGTTGATTCCGTGTCTTTGGTATTGCGAATAGTACTGCAATGAATATATACATGCATGTATCTTTATAGTAGAATGATTTATATTCTTTTGGGTATATACCCAATAATGGGATTGCTGGGTCAAATGGTATTTCTGGTTCTAGGTCTTTGAGCAATCACCACATTGTCTTCCACAATGGTTGAACTACTTTACACTCCCACCGACAATATATAAGGGTTCCCTTTTCTTGATAATCTTGCCAGCATCTGTTTTTTCTTGACTTTTTAATAAAATCATCATTCTGACTGGTGGGCTGGCAGTAGCCACAATGAAATGGTTGTCTCATTGTGGTTTTGATTTGCATTTCTCTAATCATCAGTGATGTTGAACTGTTTTCATATGTTTTTGGCCACATAAATGTCTTCTTTTGAGAAGCGTCTGTTTATGTCCTTTGCCCCCCTTTAATGGGATTGTTTTTTCTTGTAAATTTAATTTCCTTGTAGTTTCTGGATATTAGGCCTTTGTCAGATGGATGGATTGCAAAATGTTTCTCCTACTCTGGTCGTCTGTTCATTCTGATAGTTTCTTTTGCTGTGCAGCAGCTTAATTAGATCCCATTTGTAAATTTTTCCTTTTGTTGCAATTGCTTCTGATGTTTTTGTCATGAAATCTTTGCCCATGCTTATGTCCTGCATGCTATTGCCTAGGTTTTCTTCTAGAGTTGTTATAGTTTTGGGTTTTACATTTAAGTCTTTAATCCATCTTAATTTTTGTGTGAGGCGTAAGGAAGAGATCCAATTTCAGTTTTCTGTATGTGTCTAGCCAGTTTTCCCTGCACCATGTATTACATAGGGAATCCTTTCTCCTTTGCTTGTTTTTATCAGGTTTGTTGAAGATCAGACAGTTGTAGATGTGCAGTCTTATTTCTGAGATCTCTAGTCTGTTCCATTGGTCTATGTATCTGTTTTTTCACCAGTACCATACTGTTTTGGTTACTGTACACTTGTAGTATAGTTTGAAGTGAGGCAGTGTGATGCCTCCAGTTTTGTTATTTTTGCTTAGGATTGTCTTGGCTATATGTGCTCTTTTATGGTTCCATATGAGTTTTAAAGTAGTTTTTTCTAATTCTATGAAGAATATCAATGATAGTTTAATGGGAATGACATTAAATCAATAAATTTAACAGGAATAACATTGAATCAATAAATTACTTTGGACACTATGGCCATTTTCACGATGTTGATTCTTCCTATTCATGAGCATTCTTCCTATCCATGGACTGTTTTTCCATTTGTTTGTGTCCTCTCTTATTTCTTTGAGCAGTGGTTTGTAGTTCTTCTTGAAGAGGTCCTTCACTTTTCCCTTGTTAGCTGTATTTCCTAGGTATTTTATTCTCTCTGTAGCAATTGTGAATGGGAGTTCATTCATGACTTGGCTCTCTGCTTGCCTATTTTTGGCATATAGGAATGCTTGTGATTTTTGCACATTGATTTTGTATCCTGAGACTTTGCCGAAGTTGCTTATCAGCTTAAGAAGCTTTTGGACTGAGATGATGATGAGGTTTTCTAGATATAGGATCACGTCATCTGCAAACAGACGCAGTCTGACTTCCTCTCTTCCTATCTGAATACCGTTTCTTTCTTTCTCTTGCCTAATTACCCTGGCCAGAACTTCCAATATTATGTTGAATAGGAGTGGTGAGAGAAGGTATCCTTGCCTAATGCCAGTTTTCAACAGAAATGCTTCCAGCTTTTGTCCATTCAGTATGATATTGGCTGTGGGTTTGTCATAAATGGCTCTTATGTTTTTGAATATGTTCCATCAATACCTAGTTTATTGAGTTTTTAGTATGAAGGGGTGTTGAATTTTATTGAAGACCTTTTCTGTGTCTATTGAGGTAATCAAGTGGTTTTTGTCATTGGTTCTTTTTCTCCATTTTGATTTTTAAAAATTGAAATATGATGTTTTCAGGCTTAAATAAAATGGCAGAAAATCTGGAAAACACCCCAATTCTTAAAATGATGCTCTGGAAATGTAGCTGAATTTGATACTCAGTCAGGGGTTTCCAACAGACAATGCTTGCACAATAAACTTACACAGTGAATCTGCCATTGTGATAGAGGAGGCTTTAAATCAGATTTAAATCTTGTCATGCTTAAATAAATGTGCTAATATTTTCTGTCGGTCTCTTGTGCAGCTGTTAAAACATTAGGGCTCTGTAGACCAAATGAGACTTCTATATTTCATATGAATTAGTTCTGTGTTCTAATTCTTATTTTTTGCTTTTCTAATTAGAAAACAGGCATTGGCTTTTGTAAAGGTGAACATCAAGATTTACTGATTCTAAATATCACTTTCAGAACAATAAATTTTGAATCTCAAAGCACAAAGTCAATACATGTCACAGATTCTGAATGCTTTCAGTAGCACAGGAAAACTTCAGAATTTTGCATATGCAACATTTAAGCTGGAAGCTATCACTCACCCAGGAAACAGCAAATAATGTTTGATTTCAACTAGGATAGCAGTTTTCTGGTAACTTTGCTCAGCTAATCATAGTTTTTAAACATATTCTTAAAAATACAACACCATTTACTTTCCTACAAATTTCAGCAAAACAAAAATTTTAAGGTTTTTTTTCTCTCTTTAATTTCCAGTTTCCCCAGTTATGAAGTGTCAGCTCTCAATGCCCTCTCCATGGGCTTCATGCTTAAGTTTTTTCATGCATAAGTTTTACAAATTAGCTTCACTCTTCACAGCTATCTTTTCATAAACTTGCTTAACACATCGAGTCAAGCAGTTTAATTATCCTCTTTGTCATATCCTCCTCCTTCGTTCTTTGGGGCCCAACTGTGTCTCATTCACCTCAATTTTGCCAACTAATATCCATACAATTTCTTATGAATTTTGCCAACTAATATCCATACAATTTCTTAGATTCAAGATCTAGGCACTGTACCTCAAAGTTATGAGAAACGTGACTGACAGCAGATTTTTCCATGTGTTCACACATCCATTCATTTGATATCAATTGACTCGATAATGAAAATTCTACAAATTAGCTGCATTTTTTTATATGACAAATCTATCTTCTCAGGTGAAACTCCAGTAAGATTATCAGAAAAACAACTCTCTTTGGGGCAAGGGCTCAAACTCATGGGACTTTTTTTTTTTCTATTTAGGAAAGAAACAAAATTTAAATATTTACTTTATATTTTTATTAAAGTTTAAGTAAATTGGGGAACTAAATGTGTATAATGGTAGGTACCATAGATTGTCTTCCATTCCACCTCCAAATCAATTAAATGAAAACACTCAGGAATTTTAAGCTCAAGCTTGTGAACCTAGGAAAAAAGAATGTGTCCAGATATATTCATTAATTCAGAAATAAAATTTAATGACTCTTAATTTTGTTTTTACTAGTACAAACGAGGTTAACAGTCCTTAAATTTCACATATTTCTTTTTGTTTGTTTGTTTTTGAAATGGAGTCTCTCTCTGTCACCCAGGTTGGTGTGCAGTGGCACAATTTCAGCTCACTGCAATCTCCATCTCCTGGTTCAAGCAAATCGTGCTTCAGCCTCCTTAGTAGCTGGGATTAAAGGCATGTAGCACCTGGCTAATTTTTGTATTTTTAATAGAGACAAGATTTTCACCATGTTGGCCAGGCTGGTCTGGAACTGCTGACCTCAAGTGATCCACCTGCCTCAGCCTCCCAAAGTGCTGGGATTTCAAGTGTGAGCCAATGTGCCGAGCCTAAATTTAACATATTTCTGAAGAATCATACACATGTCCTGTTTTAAGCAGGAGCTCAAAGAAAATGTTTGATAAGGTACAGATTTATTTTATTTTAGTCCAATCCCTATATTTAGCAAATACAAAACCACAGTCATGTTTAAAATGTAAAAATTGTAGAATAGCTCTGTATACTAAAATATTATTAATAATGCAGTTTCTGAGAACCAAAATATCAGCTGGCTGACTTTGCTTTTGTGATATATATTAACACCTTTTAGCATGACAATATGAGGAAGTAAAGTTTACCATTCTTTCAATATCTTTTGATGTTCAGTATGCATTACTAGTTGGCAAATTCATTAGTGGCAGTATGGTAAGAATTCAGTCCAAAGATTCATTTTGATGAACTATTTGATCATAAAACATGCAGTGGCAAATTTTCAATTCATAAACTATTTTTATCATTCAGTGAAGATTACTATTGTAGTTAGCATGATCATGAGAACTTTTTCCTGCTTGATTAAAAACATTTACCGTTACCATAAGATTGGCTATGTCATGCAAAAGGTCCAATAACCCTGCCAAAGGTGTGGCAATCACCTCCCCAGCATACTCAGTTTGTACATTAATGGCTGCCTTAAGCTTGAACACAAAACATAACACGTTTCAGAACATGTGTCTCAATAGAGCTTCCTACACCTTCCCCACTAGCTAATCAGACACGGATCATCATTGTTTGACTTGACTTCTCCTTCCAGCAGCAGATTCATCACCGCCTTTGTCAAATAGCTGCATGTTCCTTTTTTTCCCAGGGGGGGAGTGTTGTAAAAGGAAGTCATGTCATCCTACAAAGAAAAACAGTAAGCAAAGCATTTGATCTGCTGTTTGTAAAGAGTTGACAGGTAAAATAAGTGTCAGCCTAGGGGGAAAAATAAATTCACATAAAGATTTCTTCATGGAAAATATGAGATTCCTGAGCTTTTCATTCATTTTCCTGAGGTGCATATAAAACAAAGACAGACATTTTAGTATTCTCTTCTTTGTTGATAATTTTTATTTACTTAGAGAACCTCTT